TACATATTTTATACATATATACATATTTTATACATATAATATATATACATATTTTATACATATATATAGTGAGAGTGAGAGAGACAGAGTTTCTCTCTTGTCACCCAGGCTGGAGTGCAATGGCACGATCTCAGCTCACCACAACCTCCACCTCCAGGGTTCAAGCGATTCTCCTGCCTCAGGCTCCCGAGTTGCTGGGAATACAGGCATGCGCCACCACACCTGGCTAATTTTGCAGTTTTAGTAGAGATGGGTTTTCTCCACATTGGTCAGGTTGATCTTGAACTCCCTAGCCTCAGGTGATCCTCCTGCCTCGGCTTCCCAAAGTGCTGGGATTACAGGCATGAGCCACCACGCCCGGCTGATAAATAATATTTTAATGCAAATTTTAACTTTTTTTGACACATGGTCTTGCCCAGGCTGCACAGTGCAGTGGTATGATCATGGCTTATGGCAGCCTCGACTTCCCAGGTTCAGGCAATCCTCCCTGTTCAGCCTCCTGAGTAGCTGGGACTACAGGCATGTGCCACCATGCCTGGCTATTTTTAAAAATTTGTTTTTATTTTTTGTGTTTTTATTTTTATTTATTTTTATTTTTTTTAGGACAGAGTCTCACTCTGTCGCCCAGGCTAGAGTGCAGTGGCATGATCTTGGCTCACTGCCAGCTCTGCCTCCTGGGTTCACGCCATTCTCCTGCCTCAGCCTCCCAAGTAGCTGGGACTACAGGCACCTGCCACCACACCGGCTAACTCACACCTGGCTATTTTTTTTTTTAATTTTTTATAGAGACAGGGTCTCACTATGTTACCTATTATTATTATTTTATTTGAGACAGTCTTGCTCTGTCGCCCAGGCTGGAGTGTAGCAGCGTGATCTTGGCTCACTGCAAACTTCGCCTCCTGGCTTCAAGTGATTCTCCTGCCTCATCCTCCCTAGTAGCTGGGATTACATGTGCATACCACCATGCCTGGCTAATTTTTGTATCTTTAGTAGAGATGGGGTTTCACTGTTTTGGCCAGACTGGTCTTGAACTCCTGACCTCAAATGATCTGCCCACCTCAGCCTCCCAAAGTGTCGAGATTACAGGCGTGAGCCACCTTGCCCAGCCCCATTATTTGTTGTTGTTTTTTTTAGAGACAGGGTCTCACTCTGTCCCCCCGGCTGGAGTACAGTGGTGTGATCACAGCTCACTGCAGCCTCGAACTCCTGAGCTCAAGTGATCCTCCAGCCTCAGCCTCCTGAGTATCTGAGACTACAGATGCACACCCGCACACCCTGATAATTTTTAATTTTTTGTAGACGTGGGGTCTCACTATGTTGCCCAGCTAGTCTCTAACTTCTGGTCTCAAGAGATCCTCCTGCCTTGGCCTCCCACAGTGTTGGGATTACAGGCGTGAGCCACCATGCCTAGCCTAGGGGACAATTCTTTATTGCCCCTCATGACTTCTGGTGGCTCCAGACTATCAGAGTGGTCGACTTCACCTCCATCTTCTTAGAGTGCTGGTTGGATTCAAGAATTAAACTGACGTAAAATTAACAGGAAAAAAAAAACCATACACATTTATTTATTTATTTGTTTGTTTGTTTGTTTGTTTTGAGACAGAGTCTCACTCTGTCGCCCAGGCTGGAGTGCAGTGGCTCGATCTTGGCTCACTACAACCTCTGCCTCCTGGGTTCTAGTGATTCTCCTGCCTCAGCCTCCCAGGTAGCTGGCATAACAGGCTCCTGCCACCACAACAAGCTAATTTTTGTATTTTTAGTAGAGATGGTGTTTCGCCCTATTGGCCAGGCCGGTCTTGAACTCCTGACCTCAGGTGATCCACCTGCCTCGGTCTCCCAATGTGCTGGGATTACAGGTGTGAGCCACCACACCTGGCCGACATACATTTACTAATACAAGTTTTTTACATGGCACAAGAACCCTCATAAGGAAATAAGGACCCACAAAAGCAGCTAGAGTCATTTACTTGTATATTGAATTGGACAAAGAATAGTAAATTGTGGCTGGGGACAGTGGCTCACGACTGTAATCCCAACACTTTGTGAGGCTGAGATGGGAGGATCACTTGAGTCCAGGAGTTCAACACCAGCCTGGGTAATGTAGTGAGACCAAAAATAAAAACTTAAAAATTAGCCGGGTGTGGTGGTGTGTGACTGTGGTCCTAGTGGGAGGATCACTTAAACCCAGGAGGTCGAGGCTGCAGTGAGCCATGGTTGCACCACCACACTCCAGCCTGGGCAACAGAGCAAGACCCTGTCTGAAGAAAAAAAGTGAGATTTGCATCTGTGATTTCCTCTCTGCCAGGCCCTCATCGGTGATCAGTACGGCCCCTGTGTGATTCCCTCGCGGATCGATGAGAAGGAGTGGGAGGTATTGAGGGCCCGTCTGACTGCCAGGCCAAGTGACCTGGAGCTGGTGGCACGACACTTCCGGAGGGACGAGAATGCGGTTCCTCTCACCTACATCCTGCAGGCACCAGGTACTGGGGAGGCCTGTGAACCAGAGGAGGCTACCCTAACCTCTGTCCTACGCTCTGGAGCCCAGGAGGCCCGCAGGCTGGGGCTCATCACCCAGGAGCAGTGGCAGCGCTACCACCGGTCAGGTGAGGCGGCAGGGACTCCCCTTGGAGATCCACATGAAACTGACTGCGTGTTCAGAATATCCATTCCTTGTTGGTAAAAATGCAACAGTCTGCATTTCTTGCAAATGCCAAAACAGTCAACCTCTGGTCCCTCGGCTCTGAGAAAGGCTGTTTTACTGATCCAAAATAGTTCAGCCACGTTCCTGATCAGTCTTGGTCTCAGGATCTTCCTCTCCTCGCTGGCTCTTTCTTCTCGACTCCCAGGGAGGCTCCTGGCACGGGGGGTATATTAGTCTGTTCTCATGCCACTAATAAAGACGGACTTGAGGCTGGGTAATTTACAAAGGAAAAAGGTTTAATGGACTCAGAATTCCACATGGCTGGGGAGGCCTCACAATCATGGCAGAAGGCAAAGGAGAATCAAAGACACGTCTTACATGGTGGCAGGCAAGACAGAGTGAGAGCTAAGCAAAAGGGGAAACTCCTTATAAAACCATCAGATCCTGTGAGACTTATTCACTACCATGAGAACAGTATGGGGAAAACCACTATCCATGATTCAGTTATCTCCCACCAGGTCCCTCCCACAACACATGTGAATTATGGGAGCTACAATTCAAGATGAGATTTGGGTGGGGACACAGCCAAACCAGATCAGGGGGAGCAATCCAGGGTGCTACCATCCCAGTTTGCCTGGGATGAAGGGGTTCCTAGGATGCAGGATTTGTAGTACTAAAATCTGGCAGGCTGGGCCCAGTGGTGCCTACCTGTAATCCCAGCATTTTGGAAGGCCGAGGCAGGAGAATCACTTGAGTTCAGGAGTTTGAGACCAGCCTGGGCAATATAGTGACACCTCATCTCTACAAAAACAAACAAACAAACAAACAAAACTTTTAAAAATTTGCCAAAGGTGGTGGTGCAGGCCTGTAATCCCAGTTACTGAGGAGGCTGAGGCAGGAGGATTGCTTGAGCCCAGGAGGCAGAGGCTGTGGTGAGCCGAGATCCTGCCACTGCACTCCAACCAGGGTTACAGAGAGAGACCTGTCTCGAAAAACAAAAACAGAAACAGAAACAAAACTAACTGGGCATGGTGGTGCATGCCTGTAGCCCCAGCTACTCAGGAGGCTGAGATGAGAGGATCGCTTAAGCCCAGGAGTTGGAGGCTGCGTTGAGCTATGATCTTGCCACTGTACTCCAGCAAGGGTGACAGAGTGAGACCCTGTCTCTAAATCAATCAATCAATAAATTAATTAAATAAAATACAGTCTACACTTGAGCAACATAGTGTTTAGGGACTCTAACCCCTTGCACCATTGAAAATCTGTGTATAACTTTTGAGTCCCCCAAAACGTAGCTACTGATAGCCTACCAATAACATAAATTGTTGACCAGGTGTGGTGGCTCACGCCTATAATCCCAGCACTTTGGGAGGCTGAGGTGGGTGGATTACTTGAACCCCAAGTTGGAGACCAGCCTGGGCAACATGTCAAAACTCCACCTTTATTTTTTTAAAAAATCAAAATTAGTTGGGTGTGGTGGCGCACACCTGTAGTCTCAGCTACTCAGGAGGGTGAGTTGGGAGGATTTTGTCAGCCTAGGAGGTGGAGGTTGCAGTGAACCCAGATTGTACCACTGCACTTCAGTCTGGTCGATAGAGTGAGACCCCATATCAAACAAACAAGCATAAACAGTTGGCCGGGTGCGGTGGCTCATGCCTGTAATCCCAGCACTTTGGGAGGCTGAGGCGGATGGATCACGAGGTCAGGAGTTCAAGACCAGCCTGGCCAACATAGTGAAATCCTGTCTCTACTAAAAATACAAAAATTAGCTGGGCATGGTAGTGAGCACCTGTAGTCCCAGCTACTCAGGAGGCTGAGGCAGGAGAATCGCTTGAACCCAGGAGGCAGAGGTTGTGGTGAGCTGAGATCGCACCACTGTACTCCAGCCTGGCAGCAGAGCAAGACTCTGTCTAAAAGAAAAACAAACAAACAAACAGTCGATGAACACATATTTTGTATGTTCTATCTATCATATCCTGTTTTCTTATAATAAAGTAAGCTAGAGAGAAGAAAATGTTATTACAAAAATCACAAGGAAGAGAAAATATGTTTGCTGTTGCTTAAGCATAAGTGGTTCATCAGTCACAAAGGTCTTCATCCTTGTCATCTTCACCTTGAGTAGGAAGAGGAGGGGTTGGTCTTGCTGTCTCAGGGATGGTAGAGGCAGAAGAAACTTGACCTGTGTAGTTCAAGCCCATGTTCTTCAATGGCCAGCTGCATACAATTCAGTGGCAATTATTACATTCACTGTGATCTACAACTGCCAACTCTGTCTAGTTCCAAGACATTTTCTTTTCTTTTTCTTTTTCTTTTTCTTTCTTCTTCTTCTTCTTTTTTTTTTTTTTTTTTTTTTTCTTCTTCTTTTTTTTTTTTTTTTTTTTTCTTTTTTTTTTTTTTTTTTTTTGAGATGGAGTCTCGCTCTGTTGCCCAGGCTGGAGTGCAGTGGTGCAGTCTCGGCTCACTGCAACCTCCGCCTCCTGGGTTCAAGTGATTCTCCTGCCTCGGCCTCCTGAGTAGCTGGGATTACAGGCACGCGCCACCTCACCTGGCTAATTTTTGTATTTTTAGTAGAGACGGGTTTTCCCCATGTTGCTCAGCTGGTCTCTAACTCCTGACCTCTTGATCAGCCCGCCTTGGCCTCCCAAAGTGCTGAGATTACAGGTATGAGCACCTGTGCCTGCCTGACATTTTCTTTGTACTTATTTATTTTATTTTATTTTTTGAGACAAGGTCTCACTCTGTTGCCCAGGTTAGAGTACAGTGGCACGATCATGGCTCAGTGTGGCCTCCAGCTCCTGGGCTCAAGCAATCCTCCCACCTCAGCCTCCTCAGTAGCTGGGACCGCAGTCATACGCCATCACAGGCTGCTGACTTATTTTTTGTAGAGACGGGGTTTTGCCATGTTGCCCAGGCTGGTCTCGAACTCCTGAGCTCAAGCGATTGTCCAGCATTTGCCTCCCAAAGTGCTGAGATTACAGGCGTGAACTACACCTGGCCCTCCAAGACATTTTCATCACTCCAAAAGAAGCCCTATCCATTAAACACTCCCCATCTCCCCTCTCCCAGCGCAGGCCACCATCAATCTGCTTTCTGTCTCTGTTAATTTGCCTGTTCTGGACATTTCATGTCAATGGAATCTCACACTACATGGCCTTTTGTGTCTGGCTTCTCTCACTCGGCATCATATTTTTGAGGTTCATCCACGTTTTAACATCTGTGAGTATTTCATCCATTTCAATGGCTGAATAGTATCCCATTGTGTGGAAGGACCATATTTTGTTTATCCATTCATCTGTTGATGGATGTTTCTTTTGATTTGTTTTGTTTTTGAGACGGAGTCTTGCTCTGTCGCACAGGCTGAAGTGCAGTGACATGATCTTGGCTCACTGCAACCTCCACCTCCCAGGTTCAAGCGATTTTCCTGTCTTAGCCTCTTGAGTAGTTGGGATTACAGGCGTGTGCCATCATGCCAGGCTAATTTTTGTATTTTTAGTAGTGACGGAGTTTCACCATGTTGACCAGGCTGATCTCGAACTCTTGACCTCAGGTGATCTGCCTGCCTTGGCCTCCCAAAGTGCTGGGATTACAGTCCTAAGACCCCACACCCAGCCTGTTGATGGCTGTTTGGATTGTTTCTGTCTTTTGGCTGTTGTGAATGGTGCTGTTACAAGCAAGGGTGTATTAGTATTTGTTGGAGTCTCTGTTTTCAGGTCTTTTCAGCAGATACCTGGGAGTGGAATTGCTGGGTGCGATAGTAATTCCATGGTTCACTTTTTGAGGATGACAGTATTGTTTTACAGTGTGGCTACTCCTCACATGGGGCCTCTGTGTTGCCTACCCTGAGGGGTCTTTGATTAATAATGGCTAAATCAGGCCGGGTGCAGTAGCTCACGCCTGTAATCCCAAGCGCTTTGGGAGGCCAAGGCTGGAGAATTGCTTGAGCTCAGGAGTTGGAGACCAGCCTGGGCAACATAGCAAGACCCCATCTCTAAAAAAAAAATACAAAAATTAGCCGGGTGTGCTGATGCATGCCTGTAATCCCAGCTATTTGGGAGGCTGAGGTGGAAGGATCGCTTGAGCCTGGGAGGCGGAGGTTGCAGTGAGGCAAGATCGCGCCACTCCACTCCGGCCTGGGTGACAGAGTGAGACCGTGTCTCAATAATAATAAAAGTAAGAATAATGGCTTAGGCCGGGCGCGGTCACTCACGCCTGTAATCCCAGCACTTTGGGAGGCCGAGACAGGCGGATCACAAGGTCAGGAGATTGAAACCATCCTGGCTAACACGGTGAAACCCCGTCTCTATGAAAAATAGAAAAATTAGCTGGGCGTGGTGGCAGGTGCCTGTAGTCCCAGCTACTCGGGAGACTGAGGCAGGAGAGTGGCGGGTGAACCCAGGAGGCGGAGGTTGCGGTGAGC